GCGAGGCATATGAATTTGAGAAAAAATATAGAAAAGGATTTTTTTTTTAAATTTTGAAAGCTGAAAGCACTTTGGTCTCCAGAACAGGGCTCTGCATAGCAGTGCTCAGACCCACACCCCAAGAGAGAAAAGGAGGCACAGCTACATCTGTTTCAATGGTCATTTTTTAACATGCTCAGAGTTAAGTTTTCAAATTCAGGCTTCCTTAGAGACAAAATATTGGCACAGGTCAAGAGTGAGTTGTGAAGGATTGGTTAGACTCAGCCCCACTGAAGAGATGGTGTGCTCTCCTGCTTTCCTGATTTTCAGGCCTGCCCCAGCCTTCTCCCATCCCTGTTGGGGATTATTTGAACCCAGACCAAGGCCTGTGGGGTTGAAGGGCAGGTTTGGGAATGGAACTGCCAGATGTCAATGGATGCCAGGGAGAGGGCTGGGACAGCTGGAGGTGAGGTCCAGTGAGACTTCTTACCCACTGCCATTCACAGCCTTGCCTGTGAAACTGGTTATGAAATGAACAACTTGGGATGGAATAGCAGGAAAGTAACTGAAACTGGGCCACTGGACCTGACAACTTCAACAGACCCTGTTTACGGATGGCCTCAGTGGCTGACTTCTGGGTCTACTCCAGTGTTCTTAGTTAAGTTTATCCCCAGCGTCACCATGATAGTGTTGCCAGAGCCTTTTCTATGACTGCCACCTTCACTGCTGCCACCTCGATGTCAGCTTCCATTGACAAGCACTGCAGCCAACACTCTCATGCCTTACATTACCATCTCAACCACCATCAGAGCTGCTGCTACTACCATTCTCACCAGCCCCTATCACCACTATCACCGTCATCAAGTCCTCCACCACTGTGACCTCATCATCTCCACTCTCATCACCACCACTGACACAACTGAGTATTGGTAGGGCTGGTCCGGCTGGCTCTGCTTTTTTCTATTTTGCTTTATCATATAGACAGAGAACACAAAGAGCAGAGTAAAAGTTCCTTCTAAACTCACCAAAATGAAGTGTGCACAGGATTATACTCTGCTATTGACCATTTTCATTAAATGCAAGCGCTCTGATGGTTTCAAGAATGCAAATGCAAATGCATCCAAGTACTCAGGGTTATGAGGCAGGAGAAGGAGTTTCAAGCCAGCTTGGACTACATAGAGCAACACAGTCCCAAATAAACAAAAATTAAAAAAAAATGTGTTATGGTGGTATATGCCTGTAATCCAGTACGTGGGAGGCTGAGGTAGGAGGATCATGAATCTAAAGTCAGTGTGGGCTACTGAGCAAGACTCTGTCTCAAACAAATGAACATCAACCCCCCACATCCCTGTAATACAAATGCTGGAGGACATGGAAGCTCAACCAGCCTCCAGAAGTGTGTGTCTGATGCTGTGAAGGGCCCAGTCCTTACCTCATGTCTCTATAAAGACACCCAATCCCACCCATTGCTAGTATGCCAGATAGAGGAGGAAAGGACCATTGATACAAATGGAATTGTAAATTTTACAGGGAAAAGCCATTTGACTCTCTGGGGCTGATGCCTGCTCTGGTTCCATGGGGAAATGGGTGACATCCAGGAAGGATGACGTGAACGTAACCACATCTGAATTTAAGAAAGGGCACTTCTCTCCTATTAAGACAGAATTTCACTTAATTTCTTTAAAATACTTTAAACTCTTAGTCCAAATTACTTCCTCAGAAAAGGGATAATGCTTTCAAGATCTGACATGTACAGCTCCAGTCCTGTCCCCAAGACCTGATCATTCCTTCCATGTGACATTCCTAGATGACTTGGAACCAATGTAAATCAATACATTAATTATAATTCATGTAAAATATGCATGTTTAGTAACATTTTAATGAGTTTTAATGAATCAATAAGCATTTGTTGTTTGAAAATACAAGCTCAGAAAAGCGCATCTTTTATTGGAAACCATTTAGAAGACAATGCTTCTGTTTTAAGTTGGAGCTGTTATAATTAGTAGATTATATTTTGGTACTATTATATTTCAAAATGAAATTTTCCATAAAGTTGAATGCCAAAATTGTATCATGAAATTAAAATGATGGAGGACTATACCAACCAAAGAAAGTAGAGTCAGTTTCATGTCAGACCTGGACAAAAAAGCAATAGCGGTCAACATAAAGCATTATCACTAAATTGTTACAGGATGTCACAATAGTCACTTGGATATTTTGCAATTTGTATGAGGTATATTCAACTCACTTTTACAATGAAATTATTTTACAAAAGAACTACTGTTTCTTAGGAAAGGTTCATTTGAAGCAAAACTTTGACATTCCAGGGACATGAGTTACATCCCTGTAATTCTGCTGCAAAAGAGTCTTCCTTCCAAACAGGGCACACCAAGTGTTTAATACATTAATTATCATCCTTCATCAAGCATAAAACCAACAGTCAGGAAATACAGCTGCTATGGCACGATTACCAACACACTCAGAACACACCCTGAAGCAAAGAAAACAAATGGCCCGCTTTTCATTAACAGAGCTTGGCAATTCTCTCCAAGACAATGTTTTCTTTCCAATCAGACTCCCAAAAGGCATTTAAGGGGGTATTTGCTCATATAAACCCAAAGGACAAATTAATCATGAAAACATTCATTTAAATTTCAAAATATCTATGATCAATATACATGTTTTAAAAGATTTGATGAAATAAAAATCTTATATACAGGTCATGTATTTTAAAAGGATGTTGGTGCAAGAGGTTTAGACAGTCAAACAATATTGTCATCCAGGACACATAAGGAATTAATGGTTTTCCTTTTCATGTTTTGTGGTGCATAATTTGATACACAAGTACCTCTATCCATAAAAAATAATGATCTGTGTATAACAGGATTCTATTATGTCCAATTGGAGTCCACATAATTACCTATGAGCTTGAGATTCTAAAATGACATCAGAGAATGCCTAGATGACTAGCATTCAGGAATGTTAATAAAAGAACAGCTTATTTGGTTGGTTTCTGGATACTTATTCTTAATATTACTGTAACATCATCATGCTTTAACAGACACATTTCTCCTACTAAGATTATATTATAAATAAACTATGTACTACTATTTAAATAATAATTTAAGGGAGGCTCTGGGGATATAAAAGGTAATAGAGAGTTGTCTGCCCAAAGTATTTATAATTAGTCCTAAACCATGACTGTCAACCTTTCACTAAATTCTCTGCCCAGAACTCTCTAGTGTAAGCAGTATGATCCTCTCTGGAGGGTAAATAGCATGGCAACAATTAAGGAGTCATATTCTCCTCAGCACAGGAGGCCTGGGATATACATATGGGTTCTTCCGTGCTTGGTGGCACAACTTCAACATTATGAATTCATACTGTAATTTATATGCAGTTAACTCAAGCACTCAAGTTCTTTTGAATTATATTTGAGGTAGGTACCATTTATTCTTTCTCCTGGCCAATTTATGTTATGCACATGTGTCTTTTAAAAGACAACTTTGGAACTGGGTATAAATTAAAACACGTGGGCTTGGAATGTAGCTTAGTGGTAGAGTACTTTTCCTAGCATGTATGAGGCCCTAGGTTGAATCCCAAGTACTATAAAAAGAAACATGGAAAAGTAGCAGCAGCAACAACAAAACAGCCACGATGCCCTGAATGTGCCTTACGGAAGGGTAGTCTATAGTCTACATGGGCCAGGGTAAGAACTGTCGATAGTCTGAGTTGTAATTTTTAATAATCTGCCATGGTCAGGATGGCTACTTCCTAAGGTGCTAAAAGCATCAACATATCACAGAGAAGAAATGCAGCTGCTTCCAACAGCCACTTGCCAGTGCCACAGAGGCTGCTGGCTAACTGTGTGCAGAACCTTCAGCTGGACCACAGAGGATGTGTAAGAAATAAAGGGCCTTCCCCGGTTAAGTGTGTATAATTGACAGACCAAAACAGTGTACATTCTGAGTGCATTCACCATGCAGCATGTCAGAGAACACCAAGGACTGGACGAGGAGCGGAGCGGACCATGAGGAACAGTGCCATAGCCAGGTGCTCTGCCTGGAGTCGGCTTAAATACGGCTCAGGGAGAGTGGGCACTCTTGGGTCCCTCTTGGGACCTTCATTTTCAGACAAGGTCTTTAAGGGTTTCTAGCTCAATATTTTTGTAGATGTGGTTATTTGTAAGCATTTCAAAATCAGAGAAGCATTTTAAGGCAAAAAAATTTAGCTTTTTAATGTTTTGTCAAGCAATATGGACACTTATAAACTGCCTTAAAAATTAGAAGCGAACAGTTTCAAGGCTTACTTTAGCTATTTCTTGCCTGATAGTTTTCTTTCAAATATATAACTGGGCAGAAAGCACCCACTGTTCTCAAATCACTCTTAAAATCCTTCTGGAATGAAAATCACTTCGTTATTTTGATGTGTATTCATCTCTAGTAGCCATTAGAGCAAGAGTAATTCCAATTCAGTTTCAATACAGAGAATCAGACACTGTATACAAATCCCTTTTGGGTGGAGAAATCCTTGAGTTTTATGTTGCTCTTTCAATTAGAAAATATTATTATAGTCTTATGGAAAAACCCAATCTATGTTGAATGTAGCCTCAGAATAAAATGATATTTTTCAGAAATGAGGGAGGAGGAAAGGAATATACCTTCACAAGTGAGGGTATATTTAATTTAGTAATTAAAAAGTAGGGATGCAACTCAGCGGGAGAGCGCCCATCTAGCATACACAAAGCCCTGAATTCCATCCCAGGCAATGGAAAAACAAAAGCAAAACAAAACAAAAAGTAATGAATTACTTGGTTCTTGGGTAATCTTGTCTTCTACAATTTCAGAAAGGTATGGGTTATCACGGTACTAAATACCAACACAATGAGCTATCCTGCCAAAAACATAAATCTCTCTGACAGTAGGGGTTTGGGAGTAATGATACCACAATGGGCCTTGCTTATAATATAAATAAAACTTTCCTTTCACAAGATTTCCTAGTGGCCTCCCTGGCTTTCATACCTTTAGTGTTGTGAATTCATACGGTTGATAACCTTTGAAGCTCTCATGGATGGCTGCCATGGTGTGAGACGTTTTCTCCCAAAAGTGGAGCAGAGTGGTCTGTAAAGAAAGATAAAGTCATTAATGTTTTGAACGCCCACTTCTAGCCCTGGCCCGCAGAGAACTGCTCTTATCTTCAACTTTCCAGGTCCTCTCAACCTGATTCAAACTCATCTTGTTCCCATGTTTTACCTTAGTGTGTCACCCAACTAAATGTCTCTGATGCACACAGGCTGCTACCACCACCTGGGACCCTTACCGCTCCATCCTTTTTGCCTCATTCACTCCATTCTCCAACACCCAGGATTCACCTACTTTGCAATCCCTCAACTGATTTGATTTCTCACTCTTCAAAGTCTCTGACTTTCTTAAAACTTTTCTTGCTTAGTACACCTACTCTAGAGGTTTAAGAAATATAGTCAGGTCTTACTACTCCCAGCTTCCTTCCTAAACTGTGAGATCTTTGAGGACAAGGAATTTGGCTGTAGTAATTTTCACATTCCCTACAATACCCAGAACCTAGCATTTTACACTTAGTCCATGGACACAGTGTTATGCTGAAGGAACTCAGACGCTATTAGGAGAGACAAAACCAAGTCATTGAATAATGACAACTGCAGAAGGAAAGGATGCAGAGTATATGTAGGTACAGTGCTAAGGGAGCCCAGAGGTGGTGTCCTGAGGATGACATTTGATCCTGTATGTCAAAATGAGTGAGATTTGGGAAGGCATAGAGGATAAAGACATTCCAGGCAGAAGGGATCCACAAAGCAATACAGGCTAGGCCCTAAAAAGCAGAGATGAGAGAAGAAGCAAAGTATAAAAAATTGCATTCATAACCAAGAATGCCCAAGTCATACTTTGGGTTCAAGCATAAATTTTCTATTATCTAAGCCTCTGGCTAGTCTTTGTTCATTGAAACAAATATCACTTTGTTACCTGGTATGTTGCTAGCATGTGAGATAAGAGATTGCATCTGCTTGCTCCAAGAAGATCCACTTTTTGACATACATCCATCTTCAACTTGTCGAAGTTTTTTTTTGCAAGGCGTACTTGTGTCTGTACCTATGAAAGTAAAAGAGAATCTCTGAAACACTCAAACCTTTATGTAGTTAAAATTTGCAGGTGAGGAAAACCAGTGAAGGGTTTCTCTGTTTTATATGAGAATACACTTTTAAGACTTCCAGGCAAATAAGCATATTTGACAACATCCACTCTTTACCTCCAAGGACCTAGCTAAGAGTCATGAAGATTTTAAAACAAATTTACTATACAAATTACATGTTTTTCAGAATGAGGCTAACATACCTGTCTTCTCAAGGCATTTACGAGCTCACCAGAGGCAGGGAGAAGTCTGAAGACACATAGGGTGTTAAAGAAGAATCTCTGATCCTATTGTCTTCACTCAATTTTTCCTAACCTTAATGTCTTGCAACACACTGTTTAAGTGAAGAAATTACCATTGATACAATCCTATTTACTGATCTATATACTTCATTGTGATTTAACTTATTTTCCACTAATGGTGCTCTTCTGTTCCAGGAGTCGACTGAGGCTTTATATCAGGAATTTTGCTTAAAAAGTTATTCCTACTGGTAAAACTTTCATTTCAGTGATGCATGCCAGCAAACCTCCAATCACTCCCTAACCATGCTGTACTTTACAGAAGTGAAGGCCAGGAAAGAGTCTCACACGTTAACTCTGTACAGTATTTCACAAGAAAAATAAAAGTTTGCAAATTCAGAAGGCTGGGGATACACCTTAGTGAATAAAACGCTTGAGTAGCATTCAGGAAGCCTTGGGTTCAAGCCCCAGGACTGCATAAACAGGGTGTAGTGGCTCACACTTATAATCCCAGAATTCTGGAGGTAGAGGTAGGAGGATAAGAAGTTTAAGTTTATCCTTCGCTACATAAGGAGTCTGAGGCCAGCATGGGTTATATAAGATCCTCTCCCCCTCTATATTTATTAAAAAGTGTGAAGTTAAAATCTGTCTTTCTTCTAATCCAAAGTACCACCATATCATATTTTGGATGCAGAAATCCAGCTACTTAAAAAAAAATCCCTTTATTGAGGTATATTTGATGTATAAAAAACTATACATAACTAATGTATTCAACCTGATGAACTGAAATATTAATTTATCTTAGATAATTCTTAAGTCCTAGCTACTGGGTGGGCAGCTGAGCAGCAGAAGTAATACTGACTTACAATGGATTGCTCTTCATCCTAAGACACCAGGTAGCCCAAACAGTGTCTCTCTTGTTTGTCACTATATCGCCTAACAACCTGGTACAAGGCAGGTACTGAATACATGCTTGGTTACTAAATGAGGAACTTTCCAGGCCACTTCAAAGTGTCTCTAGTAAACCCTTTAAAGTTGCTTTAGTTATAATGATTTTAGGGCTGACCAGATGGTTCATCAGGTAAGAGCACTTACCATCAAGTCTGACAGCCAGAATTTGATCCCTGGAACCCATATAGAAGGAGAGAATCAACTCCCGCAAATTGTCTCTCTGACCTTTGCAGGGGCACTGTGGCCTTGGGGCACCCCAGTAAAGAAATAAGTATAAAATAGGTTAAAAATTTTCATCTTTTATAAAAGGTAGTGATTTTATTTTCTCATGAAAGTAAACAAATAGATTATTTGATATAAAGACAATTATTTTACCACCAAAACCAATGTATTCACAGCTTATGAAAATACAGAGGCATATACAAAAATAGGAATAATAAGAATAAGTATAACAACTGATGTAATTTATTTATTGCATGCTGATATTTTTCTGTTTTAGCTGCTGTGATGACCTACTGTTACTGATGAGGCCCAAAGGCTTTGTCAGAGCAAGGGTTGACTTAAATCAGCATGCCTTATCTCAAAGCCATGCTACCATGCCTCCAAGCAAATTAAACTACTCTCTGGAAAAATCAAGAAACTCAAAATTGTATTCTATGTTGAAACACAAGTTCCCCTATAGGATTGTAAGGAACTGGAAAATAGTGAGGATATACATTTAGCACCACGCTGGTAGAATTAATACCTGCATGAATAGAGGTTGTATGAATAGCATCTATAGATTAATACAAAATTTTCTAAGAATTCCTCTCAATTCTCTGCTTGTAGTGCTGGAGAGAACAGTGAACAGTGGCCAGTAGCTCCTCTCAGTTGACCACACCTTGAGCTCAAATAATCCTAGATATGGATCATTCTTTATAGCACAGTAAAGACTATAATTTCAACTCTTGGAAGCTCTGACTATAAAAAGAATTTAAGATGAGTTAAACATCCTTGGTGCTCCACCTTCCTTTGAGAGGAGCAGGGAGGCTGAAAGAGAACATGAAAGCTCCAGAGGGAGAAGTGGGAGTCTGGAAGGGCAGAACTCAGCAGCTGAAGGCTCCTGGGGGTTACCAGTTACTTGGGCCATAAGGGCCTCCTCAGCTGGGATCCTGAAACACATGTGACCTCAGCCTTTTCCTCTGAAAGGGAAGGAAACACATATGGGGAGTGAGCTCTCATTTCTGCATTCATTCAATATGTGTTTACTGAGTACTTAATATGAGTCAGGTCCTATGCTAGGCATGGCAGGGGCATCTGTAAAGTAATAACACATACGACAAGTAGTTAATACATATTTATGAATGAATTCACAATGTGATGTGGACCCTAAGCTTCTAAGGTAGAGAGAAAAGCACTATAACACAATGGGAGAAGTATAAAAGCAGAGCTGAATGCTACTGGGGGGCAATTATAGGCTGATGGCATTAAAGTGCCAAGGACTGTCCTTCCTGTACTACGCCACACTTTGCCCCATGACTTTGTAGTCTTCTCCTACTCTGACTGCAGACTTGGCCGTATGATTTAATGCTGGCCAATGGAAGGTTAACAGATGTAATGACATTGGAAATCTGGATAAAAAAATGCCAGCATGTTTCCACTTTCCCTCTGCCTTCTCTAAGATGGCCACAGGAACACACTCAGGTTACCCACCTAGAGGGATGTGAGCCACATGGCATGAGGAGACCCAAGAAGGCCTCAGTGCAGGGGAGGCCAGCCATCATTAACAAATGCCCTGCTAACCATAGATGTGTGTGCAATAAAGAGATGCTTATTGTTTTAAGCTCTTGCATGCTATGGTAGTTTATTTCACAGCAGGATTATAGTGAGATTACTGACGTAAATAGTGGGGAAACAGACAATGGAGGCTTCTAGGAAGAGCATGACCAAGAGACACAAAGCAAATCTAAGATCTATAGAAAACTGGCTAACTTATATGGGGGTTCTAGATTTTCTAATGATGTACAAATTAAATTTTTTTCATGGGCATGAATTTTACTTTTTCCTTGACATTAAGATAATCAGTTACTTACAGATACACATATTCTAGGAAAAAACTTGCTTCACTTGTTTATAACATAAACTTATGAATTAATATAGTTTGAGATGTGCCCTGGATAATTTCATTTAGATTTTGAAGGGCTATTTTAGAAATGTAGAAGACTTCAATCTTAACCCAGCGAGTTTGGAGAGGCCATATGCTTTGTGTGTCAACAATGATTATTAAAATACTTAATGCACTGCTGAGTTTCCAAATGCTGTGCCCTTTCCATGCCAAACAAGGAGTGTGTTACTGCTAGACATTTTAAATCCAGCAAAATTCATTTAATACTTTGTGTCCCCTGTCTGTTCTTTAAAACATACTGCTAGTCTATGACCTGAGGAAAACCACCAAGGACATAGCCAAGCACAGACCACCATTGAGAAGATACTTTCACAGGCCTCCAGATGCACGTAAGTGAAAATGTTTTATTATTCCTCTCCATCCCAGATAAATTATATTCAATTACATAAACATTTTTGGAGCCCCTGTGGTTTTCAAGGCTCTTTAAATTCTTTTCACTCAAATAAATGCACCCTTTGTTTATTTCTTTATCTTGTTTCTGTTAACCTACCTTTCTCTTCTTATTCCTAAAACGCTAGGAAATGATTATGCATATTAGACCCTCTTTAGTCTGGGTCTTGTCTTCCCCAAACCACAGAAATTCAATTTTATCTAAGAAAGCAGCAATGTCTCCCTGCCAAAGCTACAAGGCATATCTATATACTTGGTCTTCCCAACCCAAAATTCTGCCTTTTAGCCCAAACTTGAACTACCCGGGGGTAAAATCAAAGCAATTTATCCTCTCATTTCATTCTGGCTTCTTTATCCAGTGGGGAAGGTCTTCATATGCCACAACCAAGCAATTGTACTTTTACCCCCCCCCCACAAGGGCTTTATTTCCTTTAAGAACAAAAGGAAACAATTCTACCTTTATTTTTAGATCTTCTTTTAGGAGATAACTCTGATCCTACCTCCCATTCATTAGGCAAGTATTTACTGAGTATCTTGGAGTGCCCATAGGTGCCGAAGGAGGTGGTCTTTGCCTTCCTGGGTCTGAGAGTTCACTGGGAGTTTTTATATTAATGAAAGCATAACTCCAGATTAGGGGAGAGGCTCAGAAGAAAACCCACACAGTTGCACAAGAATGACTGACTAAAACATCTGAATCAGAGGACATCAGTTGGGTTCCAAAGGACTGAGCATGGTTAACTCTACAAAGAGAGAGAGTGAGCAGCCAGCAGTGAGAGGGGCATGTGCAAAGGCTCTGGAGAGGACAACATGGCAGGCGTTAGCACTGACAGTGGTTAGCATGTAGCTGGGCTCTTGGGAATGTGTAGGAAGGAAGTATGAGATGAGGCACGAAAGGGGATCACACCATGTCCTGGAGCAGAGACTTATTGTTGTGCTTAGGATTTTAGTTTTTGACTTAGAAACAGTAGAAAAATATTGGAAGCTTTTAGGCAAGGAAGAGACAGGACTCCATCTTCAGTTTGAAAGATTACTTGCTGCAATGTAGAGACAGGCTGGAGGATGAAGATGTGTAAGGATGGATCTGGAGTCAAGGAGAAGATGACAGTGATGCTGGATATAGAAAACAAGACACTGATCCAAGAAATGTTCAGGAGACAAAATGGGTCAGAGAGAGGCAGTACACATGGGAGATAACCCTATCCTTCCAGCCCTGCAG